GTGTGTGTGTGTGTGTGTGTGTGTGTGTGCGCGCGCGCGCATGTGGACGGGTTTTTCCTACAATGTGGGGAAATTTTTCCCAAAAAAAGCAGCCTCGTGGGGATTGAAGTGCATCATGGGGACCAATGTCAGGTCCCCACAGGTCCAAATACAAATTACAGGTGTGGGGTTAGGTTTAGAACCAAGGTATAGGTTAGTTTTAGGGTCAGGTAGGTACCTGTGAGGTTAATTTTAGAGTAAATGGTCAGGGTTAGGATATAAAATTTCCAAAAAATTAATGGAAATCAATACACGGTCCCCACAGGGATATACAAACCAGACCAGTGTTTGTTTCTATTGTGTTGAAATAATTTGGAAAAACTTAATTAAGTGCCACAAATCTGTTGAAACTACATTAAAAAGAACCTGTTTGGACTCTGAAACTGGCATAAAATAAATTATTGACGGGACCTAAAGTCCAGCGGGACTCAGTCGCCATGGCAACCAGTTACTATAGAACGACTGTACAGCACATTTGCAGGCATTTTCCCTAAGAATGCACATCGCGGGTTATCTGCTCCGTAATCAGGTTTTCCATTGGAAACGCTATTAGTTGTGTCTCTGTGATTCACAGAGCAGACAGCTGTAATTAAACTGGAGCAAACAGGACATCATGGTCGGCAGCTGGGAGCCTTTTGCTTTATGTTTTGACGTCAGGACGCAGAAGCACAGTGCTGCCATGACATCAAATTATTGTTGAGCTGTATGTCGGTACAAGGAGGAAATGTCTCGTTAGACTGTGTTACAGGTCTGAATGCAGATTAGGGCGTTCAGCTGCAGGGCTACATGCTATGATGCTGGACCAGGTCTGAGCAAAAACCCAAAAACTCTTTCTTCTTTTTTCTTTTCATAACATAGATCTTGGTAAAAATGCTTAAAGGGACTCAGTTTCTGTTTTTTCATCCCGTTTTATTGCATCAATGCAATCAGACGTCCAGAAAGTGAGGTCAGACCATAAAACTCTATAATGTGATGGTTATCTTGTTTTTACGAGGAAGCTTTCTAATTTCTTTGAGATGTGTTCTGTTTGACTCAAAACTTACTTTTAGGTAACATATTAATGCAATGAACATGAACTTTTCAAATTGTTGTCTCATCAGACCTTTTCTCACTTCACATGCAGCTAAAACTTGTGTGGATGCAATGATTTTTTTCCCTAATACAGTATTCTTATTGCCTGACAGTTTGGTCCAACAGCAAATGTGTTATTCGGGGTGTATTCACACCAGGAAAGTCCTTTGGTCCACTTATTTGGTCCAGTCTTTATTTTTTTTTCCTTTGGTGTGGTTTGCATTCACATTGTGTTTTTTTCAAGTGGACTATAATTTATAAACAAAGTCATGCAGGTGACGGTCATTGCTCCCATTGGACAGAAATGACGGGGACAGCACAGACTTGGATATAAAGATGCTGTTAATACGACTGACTATAAAGAATATCAAGAGCAGCTCATTCAGTGGAGGTTTTGCGGTGATACATATACTTATGATTTTAGGACAAACGGGGTTGTCAAAGAGTGCTGCAACCTAAAGAAGACCAGATGCTCCACGTTCTCACAAAGGCTCGTTATTTTGTAGCGCAGTGTTAGCATTAGCAACACTGAAGGGCTGATGATGCTTAGAAAAACTGAAAAAAAAAAATAAAGTCCACTTTAGGTGGCTCATGAAGTCCAAAAAGGCAGATGCTTTCTGAAGATGGTTCGGGTTCAAGGCCAGTCTGTATTCACACCACAAGCGAACCGCAGAGTTCATTTGGAAGCGGGCCGAGACCACCTCAAAAACAGGTCTGGTTGTTTGGTCCACACCAGGGTTCACATGAGTGTATTCACACCTGCAGAAAAGGTCCAGACCAACGGGGGAAACCAACTCTGGTCCTTTTTAAAGCGTACCAAATGTGTTTTTAATAACCCATTAACTCTTCAAAAAGACCGTTAAAGTTTTAGACAGACAACCTTATTATGTTCACCACTGTGATATTAGTACAAGATCTAATTATCTAAGGTTCAGCGATTTAAGTCTTGTTTTTAGAGTCTTAAATGGACCTTTAAACTCTTTTATTCAGAAGCACAAATCCAGAACAAACTCTAGATCTCAGACTGGAGGGGAAACGGAGAACAGAGTTTGGGTGAAAGGTGACGTCAATTAGAGACATGGAGCAGAACACATCAGAGACTGAGAGTTATTCCATTTTTAAAAAAGAAGCTTAAACTTTGGCTTAAAAATTCAGTCATGTATTTATAAAATGTGTAACTTGCAGTGTGTGATGTTTGTGTATTTTGTTTAAATTGATTGTTGTATTTGTTTTGTGCACTTCTTTTATAAACTTTTTTTTAATTAATTTTTTTATCTGCTCAGAACTGGATGAAATTTAGCTGATGAGCCAAAATATGACAGAGCAGACACGTCGAGCACAGAAGTGACAGAGAGAGAGCTGCAGGTCGAAACAGAGACACAAACTCTATAATCAACCTGACATTGAAACAACGACAGGATTTTTTGCACTATTTGGACAATTTATTTGTAGGTGCATTAATGTTTGACACTCATCGTTGGAAGAAGAAAATATAATGCATCAATACCTCATCTATGGTTCCCTTGAATTAAATGTTGATATTATTACCCTAAAGAATTTTGAAGCACTTTTCAGAGCAGTACCAACAACATAGTCATTTTGAGCTGAAAAGTTTTACATTTTTGCTATTTTCCCTTTTATGGTAGCAAAGCTTATTTCAACTCCAGCTGGGAAATCCCAACACTGAAACATGGTTTGATGTTTCCTCGTTTAAATGACGTTAAGTTCTCATTAGAATATGCAAAAAATAAATAAATAAATAAATAAAATAACGGATTCAGACTGAATTTCCAGGGGCCTTCCCTGGATTAGCAAAACAAATCCCTCATGATATCAGGATGGCCAGGAATCTGAAAACATGTCTTTTAGTTCATTTTGACTAAATCTGACTTCACTGTTGGTTTGATGTATTGCATCACATTTACTAACACTTCTACTGACATGTCTGCCCTCTTTTTGTGAGGACAACAGTGCTTCAGATCACTTCTTCTTCAGAGACACCACCAGCTCCCAGGAAGCGATAAATATGTGATGCTGAACTCACGTCAGGCAGTTATTTCCATAAATATGAGCGGCTTAATAGTTGGTTTTTAAAAGTGAGCTATCAGGACCGACAGAGAGATGCTGAGCTGAGTCAGATGTGCAGAGCTCATTTTGTGAGGGTTTAGTTAATTAGAGGGATAATTTGTGCACAAAAAGACTCACAAACATTTATTCTAGGATTAGTGTCACATAATCAATTATTGGAAAAAAAAAGGTTCAAAATCATCTTGGCTTGTTTTGGTGAAGATTTTTGGATTTCTGGTGTTTTTTTTTTTTTTTTTTTTTTTTTTTTTTTTTGTATCATGGTGCCTCCAACATGTTTCTTTGGATAAAGTGGACAGATTTGAAATGACAGAGCAGGATATAGAATTAAAATAAAAATATTACAAAATCTGGAAAAAATTGGCTTTCACTTCAAGTACCAGATTTATCTTTACTATTGAAAATGACTTAAGATTTCACTTCCTGATTAATGTATTTAAAAGTCTGCTAATAATTTTGGATACTCTTCCTCTAATTGATTTATTTTATTTTATTTTTTTAGTTTTGGTATAAAGATCGTCTGTGAGTCAACACTTCGAGGCGCAGAAATAAAAATATTAGAAAAAGGAAATTTTGTCACCAATGAGATGAACGAAAACTGCTGAAGTTAATACAACACTTTTATTTTTTAAATTAAATTTCAATATTTTAACCAAATACTATGCTTTTTATTGTTTCTAAATATATTTTTTTTTAAAGCCAGCTTTATCCAACATTTCCAATTGAATCTCTTTAAAAATGAATCTTTTTCACAATCACCAGGTCCTGGAAATGAAAGATGTTATTTATTTTCTTTTTGTCACTCAGACTCTCAGTTGAAGCTGTTTTTTTCTTGAATGGACATGAGTGAACAGAGACTTGGCAGTGAAGGAATCTGGAAACACAATCTGCAACATATTCACTTTTGAAATTCTGCTTGAAATGAGCCAACACTGTTTTGGCTCCGTGTCTTGTCCACTGTAGTAACAAAATCTTTTTTACAATCTGCTTTCAGTCTGACTGTTTTCAAACCCCCCTACATAAAAACAATTTTGTAGACAAGAAATGTTATCATTTTTAGGAAAATATAAGCTGATTTTGATGTTTATGGCAGCAACACATCTCCAAACAGCTGGTAGAGGACCATGTGTGTAACTGCCCCTCCTCTTTTAACAAGTTGGTTAATTTCTAAGAACAAAGGAGACCATTTGTTGGAGGCTTTGGACGGGATTGTTGTCTCATTTTCATCTGATGGAGGGTTTTAGCTGTTCAGCAGTCCTAGATTGTCTTTTGTTACCTCCGCCAAGGGCGAGGTAATGTTTTCGGTCGCGTATGTCTGTCGGTCTGTCTGTCGTTCTGTCTGTGGACAACATTACTCAAAAACTTGTGGACAGATTGTCCTGACATTTTTAACACATGTAACTACTGGGCCAAGGAACACACCTTTAAATTTTGGTGATGTTCCAGATCACGATGTGGATACAGGATTTTTTTCTTTTAACACTCTGAGATTGGCAAAGCTGTGATGCTTTCACAGGGCTTCTGTAAAAAGGTGACCTGGATTGGACAGCACGGACTTCAAACTTTATAAAAGTAATGTTAAAACCAGATTTAAAGATGAATATTTTTGCCATAATATGCACATTTAAATAACGTTTTGTGACCAGGAAGTGTGTGACTGCACCATGAAACCTATTTTTCCCATTTCCTCAAACACACCACATTTTCGAAACAACCAATCAAAACAGTTTCTCGCTACTAGGCTTGTAAACAGAGAGCTGCCAGGCCTCAAAGTTTGGAGACGGGGGGAGCCAGGAAGCCCTTTATAAAGAGAGTCAAACCATTACAAACTCATACAAGGGGATAAAACTGACGTTTTACATGGTGAAATGTGACTGATGAAAACTTAGGAGCTTAATCCGACACCAGTTTGACGATGAATAACGTCGGGTGACAAGTCTGACTTTTTTTTTCACATTGGACTCCACCAGAAGAAATTCCATGCACACTTCCTGCTTAAATGTTCACTACGTCAGAACTTATTCTGCAAATGTGTTTCCATGTCTGCTTTTGTGCATTAACTCTTACAAGATGGGGGAAATTGGTCTTGGCCGAGGTTTGCACTCTCCGAGTGCTTTTAGTTTCTATTGATGAGGTCTGGACTGCACGCAGGTCAGTTTAGCACACAGACTGTTGTAATGGAGTATGTGTTTTGTGCCCACAAAACATTCGAACACTCGGTCCAAATACCACAAAGAATGATGACCCTTTGGTGGCCCAGATGTGGTGGTCCATGCATGGGCCAGCATCACATAAACCGAACCATAACTGGGCCAGTTGTGGTATTCCATTTTAAAAACTGCACCATCTTGACACCAGATCTGGCCTATACTTGTCTGTTAAGTGAGTAGTTTAGCATTAACTTCCTGAAAAAAGGACCATCTGGACGGGGGTACATCACCACTCAACAGTTTGGACACACTTTCTCGTTCAGTGCTTTTATGTTTTTCATTTTTCCTACGTTTTGGATTGGACTATGAAGGAACACACAAGGAGCCATGTTGTGAATATGGAGGTGTTGAACAAACCAGAACATGTTTTGTTTTTTGGATTGCTCCAGGTTTGCACCTTTTTGTTTTTTTTACAGCTACACACTCTTGCCTTTCTCTCCATCAGCTTCACAACCTTCTTTTCTTCCAACAGTCCTGAATAGGGGTGGGTAAAGTGCACTGCAATTATTTTTTTCCAATTCAGTGATCTCTTGACCAATATAATTGTGCTATTGCTTTATTTTATTTTTTGTGCTATTGCTTTATTTTATTTTATTTTATTTCTCAAAAATGTTAATGATTACCATTTCTTTTTATATGGACAAGAAAATAATTATCCACAGTAACTCTAATTATTTGAAATTTATATGGAAGCATGTAAAGCAATATCAAATCGAAATCGAATGGAATCATGACCCAAAGATTTGAAATTGAATTGTGAGTTCCTGCTTAGAGCGGTTCTAGAATCTGGGTCATATCTTGTTTTGTTTGGTGTTTTTAGGTTTGCTCCATGGTTCCTTGCAGTGTGTTCCTTCATAGTCTGGATGACGTCAGTGTTGATTTGCAATGTAGGAAAAAGACAAGGGACAAGAATGAGAGGGTGTGTCCAAAATAGTTTCAGTATTTTTAGATTCTGTAATGCTCTTTTTATACCCGGTCCTCCTACCTGTTGCCAGTTCAACCAGTTTGATGTAAAATGCTCCTCATTGTTTCTTATTCGCACCACTTCATTTAAAAACTTTTGTTGGCTTTTTCCTGCTTTTCTGAAAGGTGTTTCCATAAATTTCATACCTTTTCCTAAAAGTGGTAAAGTTTCCTAACACCTGACGTGTTTACTATGTTCTGCTGTGATAAAAAAAAAAGGGGTTTGCACATCATTGCATCGTAGCTTTATGCACATTTTACACATGGTTCCAGGTTTTTTTTTAGTCGGGGATTGTTCTTTGTTTGCCAGTGTTGCTGCTCAGCAGCAGAATCTGCTGGTTGTCAGTCATGTCGAAGTGTTTTACTTGCTGTTTCTCTCCGTTTATTTTAGATTACTGGCAGACTTTTATTTTAACGAATGTGTTTGAAAAGAGATCTTTGAGTTTTTCCAGCCAAACTGTCGAAGTCTCCAAACTCAACACAAGTTGTTTATATTAACCACTCATGCAGTCTTGGAAAATTTATTCTTGGTTCCTTTGTGGGACTGTCCACCCCACTTAACGCATTAAACATAAACTTGCACCCAGAGCTGGATCTGCTCCTGACGTTTTTCTCTTTTTCCTCCGCAGCCAAAGACTTCATCAGCTGCTTAATGGAGAAGGACCCTGAGAAGAGATTCACATGCGATCAGTCTCTGGAGCACCCCTGGTGAGGAGGACCTTATCGCCACGCTACACAATCACAGGAAAACACACACGATTACACAGCGGCGTGACGCACACCGCCGGGCTCATGCATTTGTCATGGAGAGCTTGTCCTCCCACTGTCATCTGTCACCATGACTCCGAGCCACAAGCCCACCTCTGCAGAGCACCGCCAGCTCTCAGAGTGAAATCTGCTGAATAAATGGCTGCCAATTAGTGGCTTATCTGCTGAAGGATCCTTGAAGAACTCAGAGGCTCTAATGAACAATTGAGATGTCTTGCCAGGCCCGGCGTCGGAGCTAATGAGACCGAACCGGCGTGGGTTGACGTCTGCAGCCGAGGTGGCAATAAGTCTGTTTAGGCAGTAATGGGCATTCTGGGTGGTGGGCAGGTGGTCCCTCTGATGTGTGGCGTGTAGACGGAGGCAGCAGATGCCATAATGAAGAGAAATGGCTTTCATTGACAAGGTTGCATAAGAAAATGTTATGAGGAATGCGTCCGAATCAGCAGCCCATCCATCAAAAGGGCTTCAGCCAAACAAAAACAAATGAAGGGAGCAAATCTGAAAACAACAGCAGGATGATTCCTCAGGCATGGCAGGGATAAATATAAATCATTCTGGTGTGCTGTTTTGGTATGTGTCAATGTGACTTTTCCCTTTTTTTATATATAAAAATAAACAGGATTGCAGGAGACACGGCTCTCTGCAAGAACATCCACGAGTCAGTCAGCCGGCAGATGAGGAAAAACTTCGCCAAAAGCAAATGGAGGGTGAGAACTCTGCTCTTCTTGTATTCATCAAAGAGAAAGTGTTTTCTTGTCCTAACGGTTTGTCTCGTAACAGCAAGCGTTTAACGCGACGGCTGTGATCCGCCACATGAGGCGCCTGCAGCTGGGCACCAGCTTTGGAAGCAGCACCAACTCTGTGCCGAGCCATCAGAGCCGGGCTCCGGCCAAGAGCCAGTCTGTGGACTGCGCCCCGCTCTCCCTGAAGGACTGTGAGTGACCCCCCACAGTTGACCCGACACAAACATGTGGCACTTATAGCACCGAGCTCCCAGCCTTTCCTGCCTCGATCTCTAAACCAGTTAAAGTTCTTTAACAGCTAAATATGAACATTTTTAACTACATTTTTATGCTGCTCACTCCACTGTCCTGCACTGGACTATCACAATTATTTTTTCCACTAAGTCGGCGTAGTTTGGTAATAAATCACGGACCAAATAATTTGTTTTTAAATGTATGTTTTGCAACTTAGCTGATGAAAATCGTGCTGCACTGAGGTATTAAATTAAACACAACTACAAGCCCCAATAGTGGAGCTAAACCAAAACTCATTATTTATTTATTTACTTGTAACATTTTTAATTGTGAAGTTAAAGTCTGAAGACATGATATAAAACATATCACTATTGCAACGAGCAAAGAAACATTTCACAGCTTTTTTATGCAGCCTACTCAGACGGAGAAGGTTGCAAACTTCTTGGTCTTCTCGGTCTATTTAGGCTGCAGCCACTGACTTTGGGGTCTTGTACCCTGGCTCTTCCTCCCCTCTCGATGGTCCCCAATACGGTCGTGTCATCAGCATATCTAATGACGCTGATGTTGTCCTGGGTGGAGACACAGTCACAGGTGTTCGGGGTAAAGAGTTGGGGGCTGAGACAGCAGCCTTGCGGAGGTCCTGTGCTGATTGTGAGCTCAGCAGACACTCGTCCTCTCGTTCTCACCCTCCTGCAGTCTGTCTGTCAGGAAGCTTTAGAAAAGAGGTGTGTTGTGTTTATGAGGAGTGTGTTGGTGATGACTCTCAGCTTCAAACACGTTTTAGCTCAATTAGGCCTGTCACGATAAATTTTGCTGGACGATTAATTGTCTCAGAAATGATTGTGATAAACGATAATATTGTTTGGTGACCATTTTAAAACTAATATAATGATAATGGCGTAATAATGCAAGTACATCCTCTCAAGGATCAATGAAATTTTCATTTTTAAAGAATATTTAACATAATGGACTCTCAGTCTCTAACAAAATGTGCACTTGAATAAAAAAAAAAACAAAGAACAACAAAATGGAAATTAAACACCACACACAACTGAGACATTAAATAAACAATATTAAAGAGCAGCATCTCCACTTTTCAGAATCCCAACGTTTCTTTAGTTTGTTATTGCTACGAGCTCTCATGGTAAAGAGGTAGAAGACCATGCACCTGGCAATACCTAACGGAAGAGTTCAGTCCTCCCAACGCTAAGAAAACAGGAGGGGAGGGGTCAGTCGAGCACCCTGTGCACCAGAGCACAAAGAGAGAGAGAGAGAGAGACGAAGTAAACAAGTAAGCAGGCAAATGAAAATTATCGTCCTCATTTTTTAAATTGACTTCAAAACAATTTATCATACGATTAATTGATTTATTGACTATCGTGATAGGCTTAAGCTCAATATCTGTGTAACTGACTGAGTTATGGCCATTTTTGTCTTGTGAAATAATTTTTTCTTTATGAGATAAGACTCTTGTGGCAGCATGTAAAAAATATATATATATAGTATACAGTATATACAGTATATATACGTAAAAACATAAATGTTTTTTCAGTTCCTTGTATTTTGTTTTTCAGGTCCTCCTATAGCTCCTTTTAAATCTGCCGTCAAAGCACAGAAGCAGGACTCTGATGGTCCTGCTCCTGTTCCACCAGAGGACCTGCCATTGGTGGCTGAGCCCCCTCGGCCCAGACCCTCCACGGTTACGGTCATCCACACTGGGACTAAATGACGCCAGGTTCCGCGGGAGGTCAGCTGGGAGACCACAGAGCTTTAAGACCATGAGGGGGTTAAAAAATATATATAAATATTTTTTAAAAACCACCCCAGGTTTTGTGATTCAACATGGTCGCCCAGTTTTCCCATCCCGCTGCCTCCCATCTGTTTCTGCCAAATCTGGGAGGAATTTGAGGAGCTGCGGCTCGTCGCGCTGCTTCCCTTCCCGCTGTCAGGCAGCCCTGGAAGCACAGAGAGAAGAAGAGGAAACTCACCTGTTACCGTGCAGAGGGAGGATGGTTCGGTCAAGCAGCTGCTGTGGAAAGGTGCCACACTGAGAGGTGAACTCTTCACCACAGCTTCCTGTCTCTTCTGACCGTGACGGGACAACCTGCTGCGTGCTTTGTGTAAATACCTGCCTGGAACCGTGGAGTCGTGTGATGCAAGTGGGAAAAAAACAAAACAAAAACGAACTTGAAGCTGTGGTGAATAACCGTGCCATCATCTGCACCTCTGAACTAAGTGTTAGACAGCTCGCGCTGCTCGGCGCGGCGTCACGACTTCCAGCAGTACGACCATCGGTGTTGTTTATCTTTGCTTTTTTTTTCAGTGTGTGGACGTTAAATACAAACATGGCTGTGATCATAAAAGTGGTGCGTCGCACTTATCTATTGGGATATTTATTTTCTTATAATATATTATGACTTTTGTAAGAACTCCACATATAGAGAAATGTCTACATGTTAATTGAGGCTGGATTGAAAATCTATCGTATTGTCATATAATGGTATAGTATCTTAATAGTTGCTGTTTTATTGGAGGAGTTGTATTTTGTGACTGTGAAGTCCTGTTTGACCACAGGAGGGCGCCACAGGGTCGTTGTTTTATGAACCAGTACTCAGGGATCTGCAGGGATGTGAACAGCGATCACTCGTCTGAACGGTCCTACGTGCCACAAAGACAGATGTTTACTTCCTTTGAAACACCGACACTATGTTTTACCCTTCCAAAAACAAAAAACACAACCTTGGTTTCTGTTTGGAATGTGTGCTGTAGATAATCTGATAATCTGGAGAGAGTCGGGGTAGTGTGAGGCGAAGGGTGAACAGTGTACAGTTCAACACTCTGCTTCCATTCTCAGAACCACTCGGTGTTTAATCACTGTGCTTTCATACCAGCCTGTTGAATTTAGCAGGAAGACGCTTTTCTCCGCCTCTCTCTCCCTCTCTGTCTGTGTTTTTCACTCGGAGAAGAGAGCCGTCTCTGTAATCCTCTATGGTTCTTCTGCTTTAACTTCAGTCTCTCAACATGAATGTGGAAAACAAAACAAAAAGGGAACGCTCCTTCAGTGCATGGCTGGCAACAGGGGCTTATCGTTTAAAAATGTGGTGCATCTACTTACTGTAAATACAGAACTCAACATTTGCTTGGCTTTTGTGTCTTTATTTCTTCATACACCCCCCACCCAAAAAAAAAAAAAAATATATATATATATATATATTAAAAATCAAAGGAAATCAAATAGTGAAGAAGCCATTAAGTTTACATAAATGTGCTGTGATTACATACAACATGCATGTTATTTAAAGATGATGAGTGAATATTAATTTGCTCTTTGCGTCTATTACTTTACAATAAATACAAATAACTTTATTAAAGGCATCTTTTGAAGAAGGGTTCTGTGGAAAAGATATGAACAACTAGTGTCTTACCTGTTGTAGATAGATTGAATGACCGCAATTTAGAAAACTATGCAATTCAGACCAGACCGACAAGCTAACAGCTAATCTGAGTGAGGCTGAGGCCAAAGTGGTTTGCTTTTGTCTTAAAGTCATAACAGTTGTTTTTTTTACGCATTTTTTCCATGTTTTAGCTTTGGACTTGTATTCTTCTCACACTATTAAAACAGTAAATGTAGAAAAAAAGATTGTTTTTAATGTAGCTTAAACTCATCAGGGTTTTTGTAAAAATTGCGTTAGAAAAGAGCAAATATTACTCACCTTTGTTCACAACTAAATTTGATGATCAAACACGAAAATTCTTCTATTAGAGTTCGACCCAGCTATATTATATTATATTATATTATATTATATTATATTATATTATATTATATTATATTATATTATATTATATTATATTAGTCACTTCTTTCAGTAGTAGAAAGCATAATTGTACCTTTTTGTTTTGAACCGGGGATTATTTACTGACTCGGTATCCATCGCACACCAAGACTGTGTACTCGTTGGCGAATGCAAACAAACGACTTGTAATTGTTGGCAGCCAAACGTAATTCTGCTGATTTCCATCATTTATTACAAATTGTGACAAACTTTTGAAATGGAATGAGTCATATTTAATTCATATGTAAAATTAAAATAAAAAAAAACATTAAAAATGGCATTTTTTGACAGCCATTATTGGCTGTAAAACAACTGAATTGTCAATGTTTTTACATTAGTTTTTCCAGATTCTTTTACTGTATAAACCTTTACACAATCATTAGTTTTGCATTGTGAGGTTGTTTGAGCAGAAATATATTTCTGCTGGAAGTGCTACAGATAGCTGCTGCTGCCTAATAAGAAACTGATGGTAATTTATCCTTATGAACTTTTAAGAATAGAGCTCTAAGACAGTGATAACCCACTTTGGATTAGCAGTTAGCTCGTCAACTATTAAACTTTCATTGTTCAAAACCTTCTGACAGAACCTCACTTCTGACAGTATGAACTATAATATAATGATTAATTTTAATCCACTGTTGAAACAGAAACAGTGAAATATGTGATGATTAAAATTAAGAAGCGTTTTAACCCTCCTGCTGCCCTATACTGTCAAAATGACCCATTAGGCCTCATGAATCTTCTTGACCCAAGTTATTGCTTTTATCCCTCATCAACACCAACAAAGCAAGAGTAAAAAGTTACAATGTTCTAATAAAAATAACTCATTTTATGAAGAGAAGATCCTGGTTTGGTAGCTTCCAGCGTCTGGTCCCCTCCTCCTGCTCAGACAGAGTGACGGTTCTACTCATGGGGAGGATGCATCCCATCGTAGTGGAACTCCCTCCACTGCTCCGTGCTCTCTCTGCTCCTCTCGTCCTGTTCTGGAGGGCGAATCGAGGAGCTTAAGCAGAAAACGAGCCCCTGTTTCGGCTGTAACAGACATAAAGAGGTCACGTACCGTCGCTGTCCTCCTCGGCGTAGCTCTCAAACTCGCTGGTCTTCTCTTTGTGGAACTCTCTCCTCCGCTCATCTGCAGCCAGAACCTGGGCCTGCTCAGCTGCAAACACAGCAGGATCACAGCTGACAAACTGTGTTTTAGATCATTAAAAGGTTTTATAAACTGGCCTGCCTTCAGTCCAAACACCTCACTAACTGCAGTAAGAGAATGGACAAAGCACGTTAAAACTGGGGTCACACCCTTTGACCTTTTCTCAGGATCAACTATGTGCCTGCATTGGAAATTGAAACACACAGAAGAATTTAAAGTAGACATGTGCTTTCAAATCTTCCCATTTAAATCATTCAGTAAGTAGAACTGCAATACTTTGGTCTGAATTCCTCCTTATTGTAACTCCACAAGCCCCTCTTTCACCCCTGTTTTGAGATGTCTCAGATCAACTCGTTTTGAGACTGTCTCTTTAAATCCGAACAAGGAGCTTTACACATTTACATTAACTGTACATTTATTTAAAGTCAATGTAAAATATGTGTTACTCAGTTCAGCTGAGTGGAAACAGTTGACATGTTTTTTTAAACTAAATCCAATTATATGTTTTTTGAGTGTATTACTACAGCTACTACCAACACTACTAATAAAAGCTAAAACCAAGTTATTAAAGAAATATTATCAGAACAAAGGATAAAATCTCCAAACTAGTCTTTAAAAGATCAAAATAAACCAAGCAATATCTAAAAATTAAACTTATTAAAACAGCTAAAAGATAAAATCAGCAGAATCCTAGCTATAAGCAAAAACAAAGCATTAGCCTAGCCAAAAGCTAAAAAATGAAGCAAGATGCTGAAGTTGATTTAAAAAATCCTTCAAAGATTTCCAGAGTTTTCCATGCCAATAAAAAAATAACAACTAAAAGTCACACTGACGTGAACAAGCTGAACATTTTGAATTAGCTGAAAGTAGCATAAACTATAAACAGAAAACAAGTGACGCTGACTCAGCATTCACACTGGAATCATTTACATCATTCTGCAGATCATTTACTCTTATAACAAACTGCTGGTCTGATCATGTTCTCCCTTTAAATCTAAACCCAAACGTTTCATATTTTCATTCTAATGTCAGAACTTTGCATATTGTCGCCTTTTCAAGCAGATAATTGTCAGTAAATTGCTTCTTCCTGCAGGGGAGATGTTTTCCTCTCAGTCTGCTGCAGGTGTGGAGTTTTGAAGCAGGCAGCTTGTTTGTCTCACTTTCCTCTGTGTGGTTTTGTCCTCTGCCTGGCAGCGCTTCATCTCCCACTCACTCGCTCTCTCGCCCGTCTCTCTTCTTCATTCCCACTTTGACAGCGCTGAGTTGTTGCCAGCAACAGGCAGCACGTTACGCAACTTAAGTCCAGCCTCTCTGTTTGCTGAGCTGGACCAAGCTGTGAGATGTTTAAACCCTGTGCCCCGTGTGTGTGTGTGTGTGTGTGTGTGTGTGTGTGTGTGTGTGTGTGTGTGTGTGTGTGTGTGTGTGTGTGTGTGTGTGTGTGTG